CCCTGCCCCGGTCCGGGGAGCCCGGCCTGGGCGGCTCGGGGGGAGCCGGGGCCGAGCTGTCGCCTCTACAGCCGCCTGGGGAGAGGGTCCGTCAGCAACAACGGGGCGTTTCGTACCTTCCTGTCGAGGTACCTTCGAGGCCGAGGTGGGCACTAATCCCCGCTTATTTAACTCCAGAAACTCCTGCCAGGGTTGCTCATGCCGCCAAAGCCTGCTCAGGCAATGAACGTCTCCCCATGCCGAGGTGGAGCCCCTCGTCACCACACCACACATTTCATTCCTAGACAACAACTACAGAGCTAAATAAAGCCCCCAAACCAAACCGAAGCAAACCTTCGGTAAATCAAAACCCTCGCTAGGCTCAACACCGGGGATCAGGGGGCATTTTGGTTTATAATGTAAGACATACAACATAGTGGAGTCTTTCACAACAAACCATATTTTAAAATAGACCTGCGTGTTTTGGAATGGTTATTTATAGAAAGCAGCGTTCAAAGGCTGAAGCGCAGCTACAGGAATGTTTCAGATAAGTTTTAGGCTGTTTCATTTTTCTCTTGGAGAAATTTGCGTACAATTTCCACGACATTTTCTTCCAAAAATAACAAGTGTTTCCATTTCAGGCTTCAATCTAGAAGTCTGCTATGTATCTAGAAGTAAACCGACCTTCCCTGTGTTTGTTAAGGATGCACACGTTTGGTTTTTTTATATTACTGAATTGGAACTAATGTAATTATTTCTAGAAACGTTCCTTTGTTAAACCAGATGATTCACACCAGCACTGCCTTCCTTAAGTCTGGCCTGGCAGAGACAGAGTCCTATCTTACCCTGTTCTAGTCCTGTTTGAAGTCCAGAGCATATCCCATGGTTATCCACCCCAAAAGCCTCCCAAAGTTACATGATGGTTTTTGGTTTTTTGTTTTTTTTTTGCTTGGTCATGTGTAAACGATTACTTCTGTTTGTTTAGCAACCCAAAGAAAGTTGTTACCTCTAAGAGTCCAAAAACCACAGAAGCATTAAACTGAAGTCATGGTACAAGAGAAAACCAGAGTAAACTTTTCTAGATAGGGTAAATGTTCATTCTAATGCAGGTACTGTAACAGACAAAGACACATAGACCTCTCAAATGACCTAAGATCACATCAGCTGTGTGCCTTACAGTACACCAATTTTTTGGTATGTGATGCTAAATCTTTTTGGAACTTTTCTGATTATTCTGTTGTTTACCCATGAGGTTCACATTTCAGTGACAGAATTTATAATTTCATATCTCCTCCAATGTCTTTTTCTCTCTTCAGTATTTATTTTTTGGGGAAAAAATAACACAATCCCTCTCATTTTTTTGCTGTAGGTCTGACCAAATCCATCACTAGAATATAAACCATGCTAGTCCAAAGTCAGTAGCTCACATCAAGTTTTAGGGACTGTTAAAAAGTGATTATGAGGTAGTATACCAAACTGTTGCTTCAGATCATTTTGTATGTTGATCTGAATGATTTTTACCTTGAAGCAGGTCTCCTACCTCTCAGAATTTTAGCACAGCAAATAAAGCACAGATCTGATTATGACGTTGGTTATTAGGCATTTATAACAATGCCACTGTTGATCACTAGACGTGACTGATTTGTATTGCTGTTTGCTCTAGAAATAGATCTACTGAGTGGAAAAAAAACCCCTTTAACTTTTCTTTTTCCATGAGAGTTTACTCAGAGGGAATTGTACTCAACAATAAATAGAGCATATGGGCTTTGTTACCTTTTTGGAGTAATGAAAATTCAAGTAATGAAAAATCTCCTTAAAAGAAATCAAGAAAACTCTAATAAAGCAAAATTCTGATGCTACACGTTGACTTTCCAGAAACTCACCCAGCCAAGGTGTACCAATAAATAGATCTCTGTTAGTGGGTTCTCCTCCCTTCCAGCTGTTACCCACCCTAATATGTATCTGTTCATTTTAAATCCAGAAGGGGCCATTAGCAGGCCTGCCAGCACTCTGCTAACAAATGAGTCGCATTTGTAGTTTGAGTTAGAACGTTCCCCGTCAGCATGCTCATGGCTTTCTCCTGATGCATTGAAAAGCCTGCTTGTAGAATATCTAGAATATTTTCCCTGTAGTTTTACTCTGTATCTTGCATTTAGGCTTCTTCTCACCAGTTTTAACCATACATTTTAGTGCAAGAACGGCACATTGGTATTTGAGGAAAAGAAAGTTGGGCTTTCTATAATATAGGTTCAGAAACCCAAACCAAAAATGATTAGATCAGGCATTTACCATGAAGAAAAGCTGAGGAGTGTGTTTCCCAACTTTCTGTGCTGCAGGGAAGCTGGAACAGCAGAGCAGAGCAGCCAGCACTGCAAGAGTGCTGAGAGCTTGAGAAAACACAAATGTATGCAACAAACCCAGACTGACTTTTCAAGCCTCAAAAAGAATATGTTACCATACTTCTAGAACAGAACTGGTTTGCTTTTTTTCCCCTCTTGTCTCACAGAGCACTTCCTTGCTGAGTAGCACTGCAGAGCACACGCTCATATTTTGGGTAGAGGAAGGGAATATATATATACAGATCTCACACCCTGATTTCCTGTCCCCCCCTTGCAACAACCCAGTTGCAGATGAGGGGGTAGAAGGTTGACATGTATATGTTTAGAAAAATAAGTAATTTTTTTTGGCAAATTATTAAAAAAAAACCCAAAAAACAAAACCCCCAACAAAACCCAAAGCTTCTCAATAATTCTGCGCACAGATTTAGCTCTTACATCCTGATAGTGCCTCTGACTGTAAACAGAAGTAAGAGTCTTGTGAGTATTCCTTGGATAACTGGAACAGTAGTACTGAAAAATATTTTGACTGGGAGAAATTAATTTAGAAAGCTGGTAGGTGAAGGTGTACACAAATCTTGTTATATAAGTGGGAGAAAAAGTCACTACTTGGTGTCAAAATGAAGTTTTGTACCCCTCTGGCAAATTCAGCTTTTTTTTGGTTGAAGAGCCCAACTTTATTTTGTTGCTTTTGAAATATTGATGTCTTGTGAAAAAGCCAAGGTAATGGCTTGAAACATCAACTTCCTCCTTTTCTTTTAAATGGTCTTGTCCAAGATTTAGTCAGAATTTAAGGCACTCTGAATGCTAACATAGCTTGGTTTGTGGCACATGTTACATATTTTCTTTGCTGCTCTATTTCTGTCCCTGCCTTTCATTCATTCTGGGAGCCTGAAACAAAGTCAGAAATGCCGTTTCTTCTATGACAATGACCAACAAGTATGGCTCAGTTTGCTTGAGAAGTTCAGTATTAGAATTAACCTTGAGAATGGCTAACAGGGCACAGCTGTTGTCAATGCAGACTTGCTAAGCAGGATTTTGCCCAGTTCCTCAGGAGTGGAAGAGCTTTGCTACAGGAAGCTTGCTCACAAGTCCACTGACAAGAGCTCTGAAGTGGAATACCAGGGAATCATACAGAAATCATAATTTCCTACTCTGTGTCTTAAATGTGACCTACTGACAGCTGTCCCTTCTGCTCTGAATTTACTGATGTATTTTCTCTCTAACCATCTCTGGTTAGTTGTGTTTTATAGATTGACTTGTACTTTCACAGCTTGGCAATTCGAGCTGTGCTCGTCCCCAGGCACTGAGATTGGTGCTGAAGCAGCAGAGACTTTGCTTATGGCAAGGACAGAAGGGAAGTGTGGAAGCATCAGGGGGAACTTAAACAAGCAGGTAGTGATTCTGTGATTAAAACTTGTGCTTGGAAATAGGAAGTGATGTCCTCTGGGGGATTTCACTGCCTTAGGACTACTTGGTTTGTTTGCAGTGAATTTAAAGCCCAAGTTTATTTAATTCCACATCCATATATATAAAAAAAACGATACTTTTTGTAGAGACTATATATGCTTTTTATGCTCCTTCCTGACAAACTGGGTGCTCTCCCTTAAGCCTTGCTTGGCAGGTTTCTTTAATTAGCTCTGGTTGGTTTCAACTCTGTGAATTCCAGTGGTAAATCAAAGTAGATCTGCCTAGTTTTGCATGAACTAGTATCCAAACATTTGTGTAGGTTTTGAAGCAAAAGTATCAAGATCAATGATACCATCTACATAATTTTAAATATGGTATCAGTGTAAGTACTGACGGGAAGTCAGTTCAAACAGAAATCTAGGAATTTTTTTATTTATTATTTTTAACATGCCAAAACAAGATACAGGTTTTAAAGGTCTTTGTTTTAAAAGATTTTGAATTGGTCTCTTTGTGGGGAAGGGCTGGGCTTTTATGTTTTGTTTTTAAACATGGGCTGATATTTTTAGAAAAAATATAAATCCTTCTTCATTGGCTCTGGACTTAAGGTTGCATAAACACTAAAGGACATAAGCAGAAGGGTGTTATGCTGCTGCAGCAGCAGCTGAAGTCTTTGGTGCACTCAAAGGTTTCTCTGCAATTTGGGAAACAGCCAATATGACCTTTGGCTAATTTTGCAAAGCTAGCAAACACTGGTATACTTATCCACAGGAAGACTTGCCGGCAAACTTGACTTTATTAAATGACTCTCCCTTTGTTTTCCTATTATTTGCTTTAAACATAACTGTCTAGTCCTGCTCTCTAAAGCAGTCAAAAGCCCTTTCATTGGATCTGAGACAGGCAGGATTTGCTGGTTACAGGTCTGGGATAAAATTCAACGTGGAAGCTATTAGAAAGTGTGTCACAGCCTGTCTTCCTGTCGTGCAGACTCAGGTTTATTTGTTTTTCTCCCTTCCTGCCTGCCTGCAGAAAGCACCTGTTTGCTTGTGGCACCTTGTCTGTAGGCAGTGGTTGCAGGGAGATAGCATCTTCCAAAGGATGTGGTGGGCGGGAAAGGCCAGTCAGCTGCTTCCTGCAGCATGAGTGGGGTGAGATTGCAGAGCACAAAGAACTTCTGGTCATGTTCACACAAGACCTCTGTATCAATAAATATGGATATTATCTGTTGGAACCAGGCAGGGTTTGAAACATTAAACAAAGCTGTGCTGGCTGGCTGGGTGGGGTAGAAATTCCTCTAAAGGCTTTCACTTACAAAAGCAAGGGACTGATTCTAAAACTGACCCACCTGACCAAAGAGAAAATATTGGCTTTAATGTAATCTCTTTACAAGCTGAGGAATTTGTTTTACACCCTCTTCTCAAAC